ATTTGAAAGCCGTATTTTGACATGGCGTTCTTTGTCGCTAAATATTGTCACAAATGCTCCGCCATTGAAAACCTAAGTGAGTTTAGATGAAATTACGATAGTTTTCCGGTGCTGGGTGTGAATATCAGAAATTTTGAACAAAAACTTTTGAAATTATGTTTATTTAAATTCAGCCCATTTTTTTCGTTTAATTAGCCGGCGAATTTCTCCCGCGACGGTGCGAGACCAAAAAATCGCTAAAACTTTGAAACTAAATATATTTTCAAAATTCCACATAGCATATATTTGTTGTTAAAGTAAATGTAGTTCACGGTAAAAGTTTCGAAGAAATTTATTTTTCGAGCCCCAAGTCAGTGGGCGGTTTTTAGAGACACACGCTCTTAAAAGATGAAGTACAGGCGTAAAATTTCGATAATGACCGCTGTAAGAAGGCTCGCATTCACATGTGCTTTGTATATAAACATTCGTTATAAATTTTACGAAAAATCTTTTATTTTGTGAATTTATTTCAACATTTGCATCAAAAACAAGGATGTCTGATGATGAGAATGATGTACCTGCTATAAAGAAACAGAGGATATATTTTGGGAGCCTTGAGGAGACGATTAGAGAGTTGGAAAAAGAGCATCTGAAAAAATCTGAAAATCAACAAAATATCAATGTTTCTGATGGTAGTAAAATTGATTTATATTATTGGTATAATTTATGAAATAATAATAATTATATAGAATCAAACTCAGTATAATCTATTATAGATATGTTGTCAGTTTAAGAATGATTCTCTTTTTGATGAGTGATGCATAATAATTATATAGTGATTGCATAGATTAGATTAATAATAGATGGTATAGAAATTTAAGCTACCTGGAAAAACATCTACATTTCACATGTTACTAACATCCAGACAAAATGCCTTTGTTCGAAATGTTGAAGTTCTTTTGTGTTTTCAGGTCCTTTATACGAAAAATTCCTATAGGATTATGCCTATAGGAAATCCTGTATATTGCGATTTCCCAGCAAAAGACAAATTGCCCTCCTCTCAAAGTCAAGGCCGGTTTCGATTACATCCGCTTTGCCCGCACAGGCGAAGTGGACAGTATTGAGCATTCAGTTGCACATACATGCTTTGAAAGTTGAAGTCAGCTGCTCGCAGTCACGTCATAATTTTACAGTGCATGCAGCGCAAGCATAGGCAAAGCATACGTAATGGAAACCATCAATTTCTATACCTTTGTTTCTCATTACTTATGCCCATGAAAAGCTATTGTTTGAAATGCTGACATAAAATATTTTATGCTATATATTGTAGGACAACGGCTAGAGCTATCTGAAGATAGAAACACTGAGAGAAATCAAAAACTGCTTGCTGATTTTGAAAAGAGGAAAAAAGTAAATATTGATATCATGATCATATGTGATGCCACTTTTACTGTTTTGTAATTACTTAATTTTGCAATGATAGGCTCGAACAGTTGTGGTGCCAACAAATGATGCTGAAGTTAAAGCCAGATTGAGGGAACTTGAACAGCCTATTTGTAAGTATTAACTCAGACAGCCTGTGCCAGTGTAGGTAGTGATATAATACTAGTAACACCAGAAAGTTTCAGACTGAGAAGGAATCGCCGAATTGACTGCCTGAAAAATACAAGTCAGGCCTCGAATTTCCCTGAAATCAATCAATGGCAATGGTGTTAAAAATTGCCGTAGAACGTAACAGCTGTCTACGGCAATTTGGGCATGAGTTTCCACTGCATTTTTTCAGGTTACTGTAATAAAAATTTAATTTTATTGTTACTTTGGATTGTTGACAAGCTAGAAACATGTTTACGTATTTCTTTAGTGTTTGTTTTTTCAAAGAAAAATGAGACTAAAATAGTAATTTACGCATGATTTGATCAACATCTGAATTCAAGTATCAAAATAGTAATGCACAGTGAATAGAATAAAAATTACACTATATGGCAAAAATTGCAGTCGTTGCCGCAATGATCCACAGCATTTTGTTCTCCCTCTACGGCAATTGCCATGATAAAATTCAAGCCCTGATATTCGCTGTCTATTTGTAAGTATGACTGCTTAGAGTTTTACTGTTTAAGCCGTTAGAGCTGCACAAGATTCTCTCCCTTTATAAGTAAAATCATATGGCTTTAAACAGAGTAAAATAACAAAGTTATACAAGCTTTAATTGGGGCACTTTGTAGTTCAATAAATAGGTTAAGAAAATGCATTCCTAATATATTTAAAATCTGCTCATAGGTTTATTTGGTGAAGGCCCAGCAGAAAGACGTGACAGGTTGAGAAAGCTTGTGGCAGAATTTGGTAATGATAAATTAATGAAATTACACAATAGAATTACTCTAGCAAAATGATAAATTAATGAAATTACAAATTAGAATTACTCTTAATAGCAAAATGTAATGTAAACAATATTTGTTTTTCCCTAAAGGAGGTGGGCTTGAGAAAGAACAAGAATCAGATGTGAAACAAGAGAAAAAGGTTAGATTAGCTGATCTGCATGGAACTCCTTATCACTCCTATTTGTTATCATGGCATTGTCTTTTGAATTGGTTGCTTAACCCATTGAAGAGCAGCAGCGCTCTCCCCTTGACAAGTAAAATTGTCTGGTGTTAGACAGTCAAGTAAAATCATCTGGTTTTAGACAGAGCAAAATTGTCTGGTGTTATACAGAGTAAAATCATCTGGTATTAGACAGTTGAGGAAAATCGTTTGTAAGAGAGTAAAATAGTCTGGCATACGTTAGACAGAATAAAATCTGGCAACATAGTAAAATAATATTTAAAGTTGGTGCATTTACTAGGTTGCAATGCATGGTGCAATTATGTAACTTTAAGGGTAAAATTATTTTGCAAAACAATAGTTTTCAGTTTAGAAGGAATTATTTTAACACACTAAGACATTGAAATGAATATAACTGGAATGCTACTGGTAGGATGAAGAAGTGCAAGAAGTCTGGTACCATGAAGGTCCTCCTGAACTCAAAGTCTCCAGAATGTGGATTGCAAATTTCTCATTGCCAAGGTGACTAAGACTATGAAAAGTTAATGAACAATTAATGCTTAAATGCTCTTGGAGTTAGACAGAATATAAAATATGTTGCATTGTCTTAAAAAGAGCAAATGAAAGGTTAAAAAAGGCTCGAGTACTACAAGCAAGACCTGATGCTGAAAAAGCAGCAAGAACTCAAGAACTTCATAAAAAGTTACGGGTAAGTTAGTACAGTTGTATTTAATAAAAGACTCTTTTCTAAATAGTTACGTGATTGAATATCACTAGTTTTATTTATCAGAAAGACTTTCCCTTTGAACAAGAAAATATCCTGGCCTTGGACTAAAGTAAGGGTTTCATTGTGTTGTTGCTACATGACTTGCTGTTAATGTTTTATTCTCGTAGGCTCTGGTAAATTCTTGTAGTCAAATTGGAGATGATCGTCCACTGTCGTACTGTCAATTCTCACCCGATTCAAAAATGTTGGCAACTTGCTCATGGTACAATATAATACATTATTTGACTGTAACACACAATTTTGCATATGTATTACATCATTCAATTATTTTGTAGGAGTGGATTGTGTAAATTATGGTCAGTACCAGACTGCTCATTGATCAGAACATTACGAGGTCATAATTCCAGAGTTGGTGGTATAGTATTTCATCCCCAGGCCACGGTTTCCTTGGAAACCAGTGCGCCGTGTATGGCATCATGTGGTGCTGATGGTGACGTCAGATTGTGGAATATGGAATCGTAAGTAACCATTTAGTTTTCACATTTTACTGACTTCATGATGGTATTTGTCTCATGTTTTACAATTTTATTTCAACCCAAGGGAAACTCCAATTGCCAATATAGAGGGTCATGATAAACGAGTATCACGCATCGCGTATCATCCTTCTGGACGATTCCTTGCTACTTGCTGGTCAGTCAAACACTTCAAACTAAAACAACATCAGCTATGTTTATTTTCGTTTTCCAATTCAAAACTTAGAGTCTTAGCACAGTAGAATTCACATGCCTATATATTGTTTTAGTTTTGATTATTCCTGGAGGCTGTGGGACTTAGATCAACTTAAAGAAGTGTTACATCAGGTGAGGACGTAGACTCAAACTGCAAGCACTCTTCTCTCGTGTGGCTAAGTTGTAATTATAGCAACGACTTGTGAGCGACAGTAATGTATGTAAAATAGCAACTTGATAAAGTTACAACATTGTTGAAAAGCTTGCTACAAGCCTGTTGTGAACAAATATTCTCGACAAGATGTGAGATTTTTACGTGTGCAGTAATGGATTACACTTGCTGGATCCCTAGAGAAGGCAGTTTAAGAGAGATGCGATAGAGCTATTCTGACCATGGGCTTAGACTGAGGCCCGTCCACTCATTATTTGGACGTGTATTTTGGGGCAAAAAAGTTAAAGTATTTTGTCTTTAGTAATTAGTACGACCGCACAAGCTTACATATTGCTATAACTGACATCACATTCAACAGTCACTGTTCATCCCTGCACCACTCCTACACATACATCCACAAGTAAATTCCCTGTGTATTTGCGAAATATTTAGTATATTAAGCCGATTTTAATAAAAACTTCGGCGATTATGTCAGTGAGGTCAACCATGCTGTTTGTTCTTCAGTTTTGAGCGCACAAGTTTTACACGTGTTCTTTTGTCTGCTAAGCATCACGTTTTTAGAAGATAAAGATCTGATTTCAAATTTATTCTAAGAGAAACACGATGTTTTGGGGGGAGGGGGGGGGGGGCAGAACTGGCCCAGCGCTTTTGGATGGGTAGATTGCTAATCCTGGCAGGTCCCTGATTGTGACTAAATTGTACTTCCTAATTATAGGAGGGTCACTCTCGTGAGGTTTATCACATTGCTTTTCACCCTGATGGATCACTCACTGGAACTTGGTAAGATTACCAGATTTTACTTTAAAATTCCTTATTTTTTTAATCTTATTTATACGTCGTTTTCCTACAGTGGTTTAGATGCGCGTGGTTTGGTGTGGGACTTACGGACGGGGCAATGTGTGATGCCTTTGGATGGTCACTTACAGAAAGTCTTGGCAATAGATTTCGCTCCTAATGGGTAATCTGATAACGAGTGGTTTGATATTGTTCAACAATTACGTAACTTAATTGCCTTGTGTTAACCCATTGAGCGCTGCAACCCTCTCTCCTTGACGAGTGAAATCGTCTGGCGTTAGACAGAATAAAATAATAAAGTAGGGCGTAATGCATACACCTCAATGAGTTAACAAGAAGTTTGGTGCTATTTAAAACACTTGCTTTATCAGATAAAGATTATATCTGATGAAGCACGGACTGCGAGTGTTTTAAATGGCTTAAAAAGTGACCCATCTAATGAGTTCATTGGCGAAGTAATTTTAAATATAAACGTTGTCTAAGCCGAGAAAATTAAAGCCAAAGTTTATGTAAATGAACATGATTTTTATCACATGTAAAACTACCGACACGGCAGTGATTTCCTTTGTCTTTTCCTCATGAATTATTAATGCGTTTTTAAATTTTATTTAGTAATCATGTGGCTACAGGCAGTGAGGATCAAAAAATCATGATTTGGGATTTACGGAAAAGAAAAGCAATTTACACAATTCCAGCGCACACGAATCTCATTTCGTTTGTTAAATTTCACGGTAGGGACATGACTGTATGTTGTGTGGTATTTAGGGACATGACTGTATGTTGTGTGGTATTTAGGTACATGACTGTATGTTGTGTGGTATTTAGGTACATGACTGTATGTTGACATGTTGTGTGGTATTTAAGTACTTGACTGTATGTTGTGTGGTATTTAGGTACATGACTGTATGTTGTGTGGTATTTAGGTACATGACTGTATGTTGTGTGGTATTTAGGTACATGACTGTATGTTGACATGTTGTGTGGTATTTAAGTACTTGACTGTATGTTGTGTGGTATTTAGGTACATGACTGTATGTTGTGTGGTATTTAGGTACATGACTGTATGTTGACATGTTGTGTGGTATTTAAGTACTTGACTGTATGTTGTGTGGTATTTAGGTACATGACTGTATGTTGTGTGGTATTTAGGTACATGACTGTATGTTGACATGTTGTGTGGTATTATCATCCTGGATTAACAAGAGAGGACCCCTTATTGGATTTCTAGGGAGAGCAGTCTAGAATTGATAGAACTATAGTTAGTTTACTGTGTTTCATTTTTAACTTATTAACAATCCATATTTTTACAGATCAATATTTGCTTTCTGGTTCATATGATTGTAAAGTAAAAGTAAGTTATCTCGAGTTAATATACAGTGTCTTTATTAAAAAAATTTTACGATTTCTCAAAATGTTTTTGATTTCCCTCAGGTGTGGACCCACCCAGGTTGGATTCCTTTAAAAACTCTGGCTGGTCATGAACAGAAGGTGTCATGTGTGGACATTTCCTCAGGTAACATTTTATTCATATTGTATACCTTTTATCCAAAGGTAAACCCAACAATTAGAGAGTTTAAGGAAGCGAGGTTTTTGAAAACACTGAACACATCTATTGTAATTTCTGTCTAGACGGTCAGTATATCGCGTCAAGCTCCTTCGACAGAACATTTAAACTTTGGTCAGCGGAGTAATCTGAATGTGTGACGACACCTGAGCATCATGGGTATGGAGCTAAATATCTGTGGGGAATCATTCCTGGTAAAACTACAGTAAAACTTGTTGCAAATATTTAAATAAGGTGTCTAGGCTTTCTTCTAATTGCTTCGGAGAACAATGCTACGGGTTGATTGAAACAGCAACTGGCACAAGAGCCAACTTCTATATCTAGTTGAAAGGAATGCGGGAGCCAAATCTGTTTAAAGTTTAAATTGAGACAGTGAACATCTAGTTCGGCCAAAGGAAAATAACGAACTGGCATTTGCATCAGTTTCATGTGATAACAAACAAATTAAACTACGTGATATAACTACATGATAGCTGCGTATGATAACTACATAAAACTACGTGATATGATGTACACGTAGCCTGCGAATGTTATTATTACAATACAGAAATTGATATAATCTTGGTCAGTGACAGTACAGAACTTTGCCGTTCCGTCGGCCCTTCGTCGGGAGCGTCGGCCCTTCGTCGGAAGCGTCGGCCCTTCGTCGGAAGCGTCGGCCCTTCGTCGGAAGCGTCCGCGCTTCGTCGGGAGCGTCAACGCTGGAAACGTCGAGGATCTGTTGTATCTGTCACCGCAGCTGGGTTTTTTATGCGGAAATTCTGAGCGTTTGCCGACTGTGTACATTGTCCTGCGGTATTGTACATACATCTGTGAACAGCTGTTGTAAGCTATGTGTTGGCAATCTCGAATTGAATAAAAACATTTTAACTTTTGATTGTTACTCGGTAACTTTGAAGTAATTTTATAACCCACTCCTGACGTCATCAAAACGATAGTTAATGAGGTTAAGAGTTCATCCAAGATGGCGGCGGACAGCTTGTTGCTTTCGGTCAAAATATTTCAAGAGTTCAACTTGATCTGAAAAATCTATCTCAAAGTCATTATTGCTTTCTTTTGCTCACATGATAATACTGAATACCTGGTGAAGTATATTACTCCAGTCTATCAAAATAAATTCAGTTCTTGGACTGGATCAAAATTAATTCACCTCACTTTAAGTAGTGATATATTCGTATGAGATGTCATTTCAAATCCTCCATTGGACCATTTGCATTATAGACTAAATTTTGACAAAAATTTCATCACAGCTTGAAAGAGTATCACAAAATTAGTAATATTCCAAAGTTTCGTTGCGAAATGTTGTAAAATGCGGACAATATAGCCATGCGAAGTTTGCCGTTTTTTCAGTCATTTTGTATTACGCATGGGAAATTGACAGCCCAATCGGGTGTTGCGGCATCAATTTCCCATTTGTAATACAAAATGACTGAAAATTGCAAATTTCGCAAGGCTATATTATCCGCATTTTACAACATTTCGTAACGAAACTTTGGAATATTACTAATTTTGTGATGCTCTTTCAAGCTGTGATGAAATTTTTGTCTAGATCAAAATTTAGTCTATAATGCAAATGGTCCATTCGGACTGGTCCCTAGATTTCAAATCCTCGCATTTTGATCCAGTCCTCGGCTTCGCCTCGCACGTGATCAAATTGCGCGGACTTGAAATCTAGTCCAGTCCTCATAGTCGGATTTGCAATATTACATAACAAGATTACGAAGATAATTTTAAACGTTCTTTCAAATGAGACAATAAGTTTTTTTGGTGCCATTGTCATTTAAACCACTATTAATTATCGTAACTGGGGTTAAACTACAGTTTTGGGTTAACAATGTAAACACTAGATTTTAACACTTAAATCAGTTAATTGTAAAATATATAAGCGATTTAATATTGGGCTTTATATAAGCACCACTCGAAGGAATGCAAATGGTGATTCCTGCTACAGACGAAATTTTTATCTGGACAAGAAGAACGAAATCCAGTAGTCATTACCATAGCTGAAAATGAGTAAATTTGCCAAGTTTGGTTGCAAATTGTTGTAAAATGAGGAAAATATAGCCCTGTGAAGTTCGCAAATTTCGTGTATATTTGCATTACGCGCGGGAAAGATAACCATTTTTGAGCCGAAAGTGGTTATTTTTCCCGCGCGAAATACAAATATATACATAATTTGCGAAATTCACAGGGCTATATTTTCTTCATTTTACAACATTTAGCAACCAACCTTTGCAGTTTTACTCATTCTAAGACGCTCTTTCTAGCTGTGGTGTTGGATGCTGGCCTTGCTCAAAATTTGGTATATAGCTGAAATCACCCATTGTCTTGACTTGTTACAAGAACTGTGGTAACAACTAGGCATGTGAGTTACTTGGAAATTGTGCCGGCAACGGTCATGAATATTCGGTAAGCGGAAAAAGTAAAACAATAGTCAATATTACAATGTTAAATGAATCAACAAAGATGTCGTTTCTTTTATGATGAAAAGTAATTTGTTCTGGATGACATATTCCGTTAATCTCTTTTTCAAACAAACATGACTTTTTACTAAATATTATGAGCTTTCTGTCTTTTAATGATCCCATAGTTACTGAAGCATATATTGTATAATTTATTCTGCATAACAGCCATGGCTTGTAATACGATTACGTGATTATTGCAAGCGAAACGCGTTTACTAATGAATTTTCACTATTGTTGTATTTAACTCATTGTTAACATTTTTAACCGTTTCCCAAAAAAAAACGCTTTTAATTTTCTGTCAGTAAAACCATGACCGTTGCTTAGCATTGCATTAAACGCATTTTCGAATTATTGCCATAATTAGATAATCAAAGATGGCGCGGAGGTGCCAATCTCCTTATCAAATCCATTTTTGAGACAGTGACATGATTGTGAAATTGTCAAGCAAGACTATAGACTAATGACTTACTGCCTTATCTCACTTTAGTCATTGCGCACTTGGTCAGCGACACACCCTAAAACAAGACCAAAGTTCGATCAACCCTCCCCACCTCCTTGCCAGCTCTGGCCAGATCGATCCCTGTTTTGAAGTAAGCCAACCTATGCTACATTACTTCATCGTACTGACCACTCGCCGTCATTTCGTGACCCCAAACACTGCACTAATCAGTACTTTGACATATCCTTGTCGGAAAACTTACTTAGAACCTGTCTGGTGCACATGGATATTTTTAACAATGTGTCACTGGATAATATCATTTCTAGACAATATTTCAAACATTATTTGACATTTCAAATTACAGCAAAAACCTCGTGTTCTTGTATAGGTTTGCATGGCAAAAAGTTGGGGTTTTTTTTGTGATAACTCTCTGTCGTATAAGCTCAGATCTTCACCATCTTCAAAATAAACTTGCAAACATTTACAACTAAAATTATTGTTGAAGACGGTGTAATGACATGTTGATGGGAATATTAGCTTGAAACACCTTTAGCGAGCCATTAAATCAAAACGTTATAGTTTGTATATAGAATTCAATTTTATGTCATTTTGTTGGAATATAAATAACGACAGCATTAAACTATATGTTCACATGTTAGTGTGTTTACATGTTCGTTTTCTTCGCATTTATACATATTATAGGTTCCCTTTTCCCCAGGTAAAACAGGAGAAAAAGCGCTTTTTTATGGATAAAAAGATAGCCTTATTAACTCTTAAGACATCGTGTTCTCTGTCTCACTGCCCATGCAGCTTGGATAAATAATAAAGCAAAACTTAAGCCAGGCTTTTACTAATTACCATTTTACCTCCCCACACTTTTCATATATAAAGGCAATGTCTTATCTGAATCTTATATAACAATGGCCCTATGTCTATGTATTATTAATTTTTTTAAATTTCATTTTGTCGGTTCTTATACTCGAACTCTATTAAATCTCTAAAATGTTTCCCATGAGACGATTCCAATAATTTCAATTCCCCTTACATTGTCGTAACAATATTCAATAGCCTTGTCTTCATATTATTCGACAATTTTTAATATATTTCATTTTTAGCATAGTTGTCTTTTTAAAAGCATCGTCGAAGTGCTGAATGTCTATTAAAGTGCTCAAAACGAAACCTAGATCCGGCCTAGTTTCTCAATTCCTGTAAATTTAGGTTCCAATAATTTCATTTCCCTTACAATAGCTTTGTCTCAAACAAATTTTAATATATCGACGATTGCATTGTAGCATGCTTGCCTTTTCACAGCAATGCCTAGAAAAGCTTGAACACGCGAAGAAAAATCATAAAATTTTCACTGCCAATACGCCGCGAAATATTTCCTTCGAAATGCTTTGAAATAAATGAGAGTAAAGCTTGTTTCGGCTCATGTTTCGTCAAGACAATACGACCTATTACAGATGTTTTTACGAAGTGTTTACAATTCCAAAATAAATATGCATTTTGAATCTTATATTGGCATATAACTGGTCATCCCTGAGTGACTTTGTGAGCTCATATGACTTTAACCAGAACAGATTCAAACTTGTGCTCAAAATTTTGCCTTAATATAATAGTGGCCCTGAAATACGGAGCGAACAAATCATAGTTTATTCCGCTAAACGATGTACTCGCTCATCGTGAATATTACGTAAACGGGTCGAAATTAGCTTACAGATACCGGTAACGTTTATGCATATTAAACATGCTGCGAGTGGCTTGCCATTATTTTAGTGGATGTCTTGAAATTAGCATACGTTGTGAAAAGCTATAGAAAATGTCGACGAAAAGTGTCCCGTGTTAAAATGTCCAGAATTGAGCATACGCCGTGAGGATGTCGTTATGGAAGACTTAGGTGAAAAACGGAGGCAATTTACCGAGTGTTTAAGAGTAAATTTGAGTTTATAATGTAATATTGCGACTCCAAAAAGGCCAAAGGCAGATGGCCACTGCGGACGATGTTGCTGAATTTGAGGCGAATACGAAAACTCTCGAAGCAAGAAGAGCGCGTGAAAGTTTAGTGATATCCAGACAAGGCAACTACTCGCTATTTTGCCTCTCTGAGCAAAACTGTGTACGACGTGCTGCGACTGTGATCGTCGAGTCGAGATATCCTTTATATATATACATATATATAATCTTCAATGCAATGTTGTACAGTCAGACTAGAGCCTCAAAGAGTTTGTCTTTTAAATATTTTATGCGTCATAGTTATAGATAGTGTATAATAGGAATGTAAAGTTAAACGTCTATCTCTTGTGGGAGGGTATTTATAAGCTTTGATGTTTTAAATCCTAATAGAAACAAGATATCTTGTTTGTATCAAGACAAATATGTCCAGGGGTTTTGCATATATTTTAAATTCACATGACACCGGACGATGTTTGGAAACGTCTTCCCATTTTTTCCCTGCTTCATTTTGTTTGACACGTTTTATTTCGTACACCATATAGGTATGTGCTAGAATTCAGTCCATCGTGCCGTGCAGCGCAAAATTGTGTGTCGTATAGATCAATATTATAGCTAGCTAAGCCAGGGGGTTTGCATTTATTTTAGAACTCACATGACACCGATTAAATTTCGGGAATCGTATTCCCAATTTCGTCCATTCACCTAGTTCATTCCTACAGCCATGCTCGAACTCCTACAGTTTCATATGTGAACACCACGAAATTTTCCCCATACATATTATTGCCAAAGGGCAAAGGCAAAGTTGTTGTATGTATTTTTAGACCACTTCTCACGAGTGCGGAGGCGAAATTCAGAACCGTTCTTCATCCGGTTCTACTTCTTTGTGTGGCTGTGTTCGTTTCATGTGAATGCAAGCCAGTTGGGAAAATCTAGGTGCAAGTTTGAATGGACGATTCTGAAATTCTCCAGACCGTATGAAGAGCAGTTTATAATGTATTCATGTCTATGTTTTGTTTGACATTGGCAGGAGTTATGCGTCATTGTGACTTATTTGCTCATATTGTTTTGTCCAATTTCCTTAACTCAACGTACAGCGTTTGATATTTTTATTTTGGCCACTATCATAGCAAATTGTGTTGTGTTGGCGTTAGACGCTCCGTTACCGAGTAATGATAAGAGTGCAATAAGTGATGAACTGGTTAGTATGCTGTATAGAAATGCAGTGATGCTTGAGCATGCATGGGTGATTGCGTCTGGGATACAAGCCAAAGGTCACAGAGTGCTAACGTGTAATGTGTGTGAATGGCTAGCGGGACTTTTGAATAAAGACTCTTCAAAGTTTCGCGGCCCTTCTGCAGGACGGCGGGAGGTCTAGGCTGCTTCTAAGAGTCTTTACTTGAAACGTTGGATCTTTTTCAAGAAGTTCAGAGACAAACCACAGCAGCATTGTCATAGAATACTGGCTGCACAGCTCCTAGATCCCCTCGTTTGAAATTTCAGGCACTGCGAGTCAACTATTGAATGGCGTAATATGACTCAAATTAAATGGTTCTTTTCTCCACAGAAAGAGAGCATAAGTTCAATTAGAAGGACACAAGTTCAATTAGAATCGTTAGATATAAGAGAAAACATTTTAGTCCATTTGCGGCAACTTTGCAATTTATTTACAAGTGTTTGGCAAACCGCGTTTCAATTCATAATGACAAAGTCTGCCAAGTATATTATGGATGTGCTCAAGTATCCGACACGAACACTCCCCTAGAGCTGTACGCATTATTCCCTTATAAAGAGCAGAGTTTTCTAGGAGATACAGCTATGTGAAGAATACAAACTACCAGAAAAAATATGAGCACGATCGTATCAGTTTTCAGGCCTTTTAAAAAAAGCCTAGTGGTTTCTAGTAGGCTCCTAGCCCTTTTTGTAAATAATATTACATGTTGTTATTGTTCTTTTCATTGTAATATATTGGACGAATCTTAAATAAAAAAATAATTGTACGTTAAAAAAGTCCACTCTCACTTATCGTTGCCTGCTTGGTTTACTGCATTACCATCTACTTGAATGGATTACTTAAACGCGGCTACAACACGTGTAAAATACAAGCTCGTTCTTAACATTTGTACGTTGTATTTTAGGAGAAATCAGAGATATTCTTTTTGGTCATTTTCACAATCGAAGCAATTTTGAAAATTGTCGCTCTTGGGTTCGTGTTGCACCCTGGGTCGTATCTACGTAATGGCTGGAACATATTGGACTTTATTGTCGTAATAACTGGGTAAGCGTGTAATATAAACCATGTCACATGTGTATATGGTTTGTTTGAAATTAGCTCAAAAACATGAAAACATTTTGATGTTTGGAGCCCTTCCTGCTACTCCCCCCTCAACATTCTAACAAACGGTCGTCGTTCGAATCGTTGAATTATTTCTTCAGGAAGTTCACGAAGAACACGAAGTTCTCAGTCTGTAGCTTTTATAATATCCAATATGCAGATAAAAACCACTTGGTCTTAGTTTTGTAATCCGTTAGCTTACATTATATATTTTAATGACGTTCTTCTCGCACCAAGAAAACAAGTTTTTGAATTTGAATTTTTGAATTGAATTTCTGTATGTGATGAGATTTATTAGTATAGATAACATTAAGGCTTTCAAGTTGTATCCCCTGAATGTTCTCTAAGTAAAAAGATTGATTGCTAAGCCAAACTAACCGCGTTTTAATCGTGCTTATGCATGCACTAATGAAAAAGCACACAACTGACATTGTTTACAGTAAAAGAGCGGCTGTGTTTCAATATTGTCGACGTGGAGGCAAGCTCCCGCTGTGCTTGTGGTTGCAAAATATATTATAATCCGCAAGTTGGACGCTTCAGTTTGAGCACAATAATACCTTGGCAATATTTAATCTGGTTATGTGGGCGCTGCAGGGTCTTAATCACTTCAAATTTACAGTTTTACCTAAGAAACTATGGACTACCGTTTTAAACAAGAACAGAAATGTGATAAAAACAGAATAAAACTGTTTTTGAGACGACAGCGACTGTTTTTTTTTTACATCATTACATTTCACACACGAAAACACGAATATATAGATAGCTCTTTGACCCTATGACAACCCTATTCAAGTATTGTTGACAGAACATGAAACAACACGACTCTTTTCGTCATGCACATATCTGTCGTCTGTACTACTATACAACATTACTAAATAACGGATAATACTTTTACGCTAATAAAGTTTTCAAAAAAATTGCGGTTTTTCTCAACTCGCCGACCTTCCCGAATATAAAACTAACTTGACAATGCCTAAGTTAAACATTCGTAATTTTATATACAATAATCTGTAAACACAGGGCTTGTCTGTGCTGTTTAAGTACACACAAGAACTGATCATGCGCGATAGCACTGAACTTAATTATGATCTCTGGAGTGAAAACTAAAAGACCGTGGCCTTTCAAGCTAAAATTGTATGTACGTAAACAGACTATATGATATACGCGGCAATCCACTGGCCACCCTGGTCTTGTTAATATAAATGGAGTGACCTGTTTCTTTCTAGGTATATAAGTTTGAGGCAGTTTGGGAATGATAGTTTTGGTGATGTCAAGCCGTTACGAGCCGTTCGTGTCCTGCGGCCGCTCAAATTGGTCTCCGGTACTCCAAGTAAGCACAAATATAATGAACAATGACCTAGCAAAACAACTGTCATGCCGCAAAGCAAACAACTTTAGAAATTTGAAGTTCATGCCTGTGCACATCCGTGAAGGATTTACGCAAGTTCAACTTAAATTTCCTGAGTACATACAACCATTGTAAACATTGATAAAACAACAATACCTTAACATCCACGTGCTTGCCAACTGTCAACTCTGAATATCATTTCCGATTTTTAATTCCAATTCGTGTAGTAATTTCTATAATTTCTTCTTTGTAATGAAATCTTAAATATAAGAAATTGGAATTCTAAGATAGTTTTATACCGAGAGTTTTATATCCCATCACTTTAAGGTAATCCATTCAAAAACATGTACTACCTCTCCATGATCTAACCATGCTTAATTCAGCAGTGAGTTCTGTACAACATCAGATCACTTTAAGGTAGCCCACATTCAAGAACATGTACTACCTCTGCATGATCTGACCATGCTTAACTCAGTAGTGAGTTCTGTAACATCAGATCACTGTAAGGTAGCCCACATTCAAGAACATCTACTACCTCTGCATGATCTAACCATGCGCACTTAACTCAGAGAGATTTAACTATACCCATATGAGTTCTGCACAACATCACATCACTTTACAGTCTTTGTAAGATCTAACTATTCAACATCAGGTCACTTTAATGTAGCGTACATTAAAAAAGCATATCCTGTACACAGACGGTATGTTCTAGTTGTATAAGTATCTCGCTAACGACTGTTTGTATTTCGCAAGGTTTACAAGTTGTAATGAAATCAATAATGCGTGCGATGGTTCCTCTTCTTCAAGTTCTTATCCTAACAATGTTTGTCATTGTGATCTACGCCACAGTGGGTCTGTCATTTCTTGTTGATAAATTTCATGCAACATGTTACAACAATATTACAGGTGAGATTCGGGCTAGGGGGCGAGGAAAGGGCAAGGGAGAATAGATATATGAAAGAGGGGGGCGAAAGGAGGAGCGGAAGACAAGAAAGCGTGAAGGGTGAGCAAGAAGGTGGGGCAAGGAGGAAGAGTAGAGGGGCAAGGGAAAGAGTAAGTCAATACATTTTATAGAATTTTAAGAACGGTGAAGCATGAAATTCACTTGGGACACGCTGAGAGGAAGCAACTGCTGTTATTGTGATTTAGCTACTAAGTTACTGTCGTTTCTCGTGAATAAATTTCATGGAATTTTAAGAACGATACAGGCGAGAGTCGGTTCTCTGACGGGCGATAGGAGTGGGGTGAAGGGATAGAGGAAGCGAGTGAAGGGGTGGTCAAAGGGAAAGGGGGAGGCTTGTGACTGAGGTGAAATTATAATCAGACAACTGCATATTGTAGGTATTAAACATCAGACGAATGCACTAACCATTGTAGCACTGGCCCACGTTATTTTCCTCTCTGTTTAGATGAAATAGTCCCTGTGGGTGAGACAGTGCAACCTTGCGACTACAAGTCAAACGGAATGTTCACAGGACGGCAATGCAACTCATCAAATAATGAGATATGCAGGCAAGTTTGGGCAGGACCGAATGGAGGAATCAGCACGTTCGATAACATTTTGTTGGCTATACTTACTGTATCACAATGTATTACAATGGAAGGATGGACGGATGTAATGTACTCGGTATGTTCAACTAAACTAACTTTATTTATACTGTATAGTACTATTGTCTATCCCTATAGAGGTGCAGTAAGGATCATCTCTTACTGATCCAGTTTTACTACAGGAGAAAACCTAAACTAAACTAACTTTATTTATACTGGATAGCTCTATCAGTTCTAAACTGTTCTTCCTAGATGTCCAGTAAGGATCATCTCTTATTGATCCAGTGTTACAACCGGAGGAAACCTAAACTAGAAGTAAATTTATTTATACTGGATAGCTCTATCAGTTCTAAACTGTTCTTCCTTTCTTTGTGTTATAGACATTTTACGCTACTGATAGCGAGAGTTATTTTTATACCATTTATTATGTTTCGCTTATTTTAATTGGATCGTTCTTTATGTTAAACCTGGTGCTTGGTGTTTTGAGTGGGTAAGAACTATAATTCACTTTATTTACGACTTCTGTAAACATGTAATAGACCCTTTACATAATGTCCCAAATGTATCACAACATTGAGTAACTGGATGACATGGAGAACAGTGGGATTTTCAAACAATGAAAAGACAATGAAACATTCTGATCACTGGATCATGACTTGATGACATCATAGCTATGATAGCCATATGTATAAAAAGGCTCATTCTATATGCAGAATCCTAAATAGCTGATATTTATTGCAGAGAGTTTGCAAAAGAAAGAGAAAGAGTCGAAACAAGAAGAAATTTCTTCAAGTTAAGAAGAGAACAAAAAGTTGATCGTGAGGTTGAGCAATACTTGGAGTGGATATCTAGGGCTGGTAAATATGAAAGTGTTTCTTATATAAAATATCGTTGGGCCAGTTGCATAAAACTCTTAACTACATTTTAACCACTATTTTTATTAACTTTCGCACTAACTGTAGTTTAACTACCTTTTTATACAACCGGGCCCTGGTGATTAAATTGTTCGAACAGCCGAGTGGAAATTGGCGTTAGGCATTATATTTAACAGTTTTTACCTTATGTTTTTTCTTATTATATTTTTATGATATTTCTTTCTAGAGGAAATAATCGTGGAAGATCTGGTTACTCGACAAAACGAAGGTGAAACGGATTCCAACCAAAACAGACCAATTCCTCCAGATTTTGTTTTTAATCCAATCAGTATCTTAGCGGTAGACGGTGGTCAAGTACCAAGACTCAATCTTGCTGAGAGGTAAAGATCATTACTTGCAGATTATTTTAAGTCTGTTATTTAGGTATGCAAACCTGTAGTAACACTGGATCAATAAGAGATGATCCTTACTAGACATCTAGGGAGAACAGTTTAGAACTGATAGAGCTATCCAGTATAAACAAAGTTTGTTTAGTTTCGGTTTCCTCCTGTAGTAACACTGAATCAATAAGAGATGATCCTTACTGGATCTCTAGGAAGAACAGTATAGAACTGATGCAGCTATCCAGTATAAATAAAGTTAGTTTAGTTTAGGTCTCCTCCTGTAGTAACACTGGACCAATTAGAGATGATCCTTATTGGACCTCTAGGGAAAACAGTTTAGAACTGATAGAGCTATCCAGTATAAATAAAGTTAGTTTTATGGAAAATCCAAGTTCAATATTTGTCATTTTTAGGCACAAGCGTTTTCCAAGGTTTCGTTTAAAGGAAAGATTAATGCGAATTCGTGTCCGTCGGCTGGTGAAACACGAGGGTTTCTTCTGGGCAGTTGTGATTATTGTGTTGTTAAATACCATTAGCTTGGCAACTGAGCATTATAATCAGCAGGAATGGATGACTGAATTTCAAGGTTGGTTTCTTATGATTCCTTGCTTGATTCGGAGAGGGGGGGTGAATACCAACCTAATATAAACTGCCTAAAATAAGCATGTTTTGTGATTGGCTTGTTTAAACAAAAGTGGATCAAGTGTTCTCGACTCGTTGGTTAGAAACTTTATTCTTTAGTCTTATTGTGTTTCCTTTTGTTTCTTGTGGAAATTCACTTCACAAAGTTTTCGTTCCGTTAGCGCGATATCTGCGTCAAGCGTATGTTTCATGTTCTTTGTTTCACGTTCATTTGTTTTAGATAAAGCCGAGATCATGTTTCTGTCGATTTTTGTGATGGAAATGTTGCTAAAGATTTATGGTTTGGGTCCATCGACCTATTTCAGATCGACATTCAATACTTTTGATTTTGTGGTAAGTGATTGCCTTGGGCTAGATAAGAAATACAGTCCATGATTATCGGCATCTCAAGTTATCAGATGCGTTGAAATTCAATAGAGAAAACGAGAGACACGACTGTATTACCGATATGTTCCGTACAACACTTTAATGTTGCTCACATTCAGAAACATGCACTACCTCTGTATTATCTAACCATTCTTAACTCAGCAGTGAGTTCTGTACAACATCAGAACACTAGCTGTAATGTAGCCCATATTCAAGAACATGTACTACCTCTGTATGATCTAACTATGCTTAACGCAGCAATGAGTTCTGTACAACATCAGATCACTTTAAGCTAACACCATATCTTATAGATTTAATGATAAACTTGTATTTTTTAGGTGATAATATTTGGTTTATTCGAGTTAATCATTCAGAAGCCGCTGGGCATCAGTGTTCTACGTTGCTTACGTTTGTTGCGAATATTTAAGATGACGTCATATTGGTCCTCGTTACGTAATCTCGTGCGATCACTGGTCAGCAGTATCAAGTCGATACTTAGTTTACTATTTTTATTGTTTCTCTTTGTCGTCATCTTTGCCTTGTTGGGAATGCAATTCTTCGGAGGAAAGTGAGTGAAGGCTGACTAAGGTCACTGCATAGTTTAAACTTTTACAGCGGCGGGGGCAAAACCAAGGCTAGGTCCCAGAGTGGGCTCCCCAGCGTAAGATTTAGGTCACTCAGGGTGAAGTTATGGCCCAGTTTGAGCCACTGAATAGTGGAATCTGCAGAACCAAATGGGCCCTCCAGTATATATGCTAAAATTAGCCTTGGTTAAGGATCCTCTTTTGTTGTACTTAGAGAAAACCTGTCAAACTGGATACACTCTTCTCACACGTGACTGAGGTGAAATTATAATGAACTGCATATTGCAGGAATGAAACCTCAGTCACTGAGATGAAAGACACCAAAAATTGTCATACACATCCTCATGCATGGCCTGCATATTTCTATGTGCTCTGAAGAACACATTTTTCATATTTTCAAGGTTTGTTTCCGACACAGAGCAACCAAGAACAAATTTTGACGATTTTCCTAACGCCATGTTGGCCGTCTTTCAGGTAAATTCATTCCGAATTCGCATCGAATTTCTTCAGTTTTAAACACCAGTTCCTTTGAGAAATTATATCATCTACTCAAAGTGGTTTATTATAATGATTTTAAAATATCCCGAAGTTGGTTAAAACCTTGTTTTTCAACACATCTTACTGCGTTTTAAATAACTGTGATAAACTGCTTATTCTTCGTAGATTTTAACGGGGGAGGACTGGAACTCAGTTATGTACCACGGTATAGATGCGTATGGCGGCGCAAAGGACCCCAAGGGACTGGCGTGTGGTTTATATTTTGTTCTCTTGGTCATCATTGGCAACTGTATCCTTTGTTAGCTATTCTATTCTTCAGAGTGCTGTTGTCACAGTGGTGTCTTTCATCTCTGTGACTGGGGTTCGTTTTCTGCATCCAGTTTGACTTTATCAAATTCTTCAAATACTCGTGTTTCTTGTTGTAGTAACACTGGATCAATAAGGAGAACAAACACTGGACTTCTAGGAAGAGCAATTTAGAATGGAGCTATCCACTTTAGAATATTGCCTCCCAATTAACTAATTTTATAATAAGCAAGTTAATGTCCTAGTTTACATCGAAGAAATCGAGATTGTTTTTCTTAACTCCGCGAACCACAGACACTCTGCTGAATGTGTTCTTAGCCATAGCAGTCGACAATCTTGCGAATGCGCATGTGCTGACGGAGGACGAGGAGAACGAGAGACTGAAACGAGAAGCTAGGAATGAGCAGTTGGAGGGGAGTGAACGTAAAACATCTCACTGGCAAGAAATTGGTAATATGACAAAGACGTTGGCGTTGGTGAAGTCGTGGACGTCTGACCCTCCGACTGAGGAGACCCATTGTGATGCAAACGGTGAAGATGGCGTTGATGGGTAATAAAATATTACATTTTATAATATAGCATTTGTAAATTCTGAACGCTGATTGGCTAAGAGCCGTGTTGATATAACTCAATGTCAACACGGAAACATCGGAAAATTTCATTCTTTATATTTCTTTGTGCTATATTATAAAACAAATATAAAACTTTTTCCGTGTTGATATATACAGTTACATCAACACGAGTGGAAATCGAAATTGTGTGAAAACACTCCGCCCTTCGGGCGTCGTGTTTCCACACAATTTCTCGTTTTCCCAATTTCCACTCGTGTTGATATAACTGTATATCAACACGGAAAATGTTTTATATGTGTTAAATATCAACACTCAACGTGGAAATTGGGAAAACTCGAACAACTGCTCCTGGCCATCTAAATAAATGTAGAAAAACTCTAAATTCCCGTCTACAAAATCCTTCGACATTAGTTGAATCGAATGAGATGCCCCAAAATTCTGATGTATTTGTTCACTTTCACACAGGTCTTCTACATCAAATGGACGAACGAAGAAAGAGTTAACGAAGGTCAGATCAGTGAACTCTCTATATATCTGGAGTGAGAACTTCAGTCATTCGGTCAATGAGAAAAGTGAAGCTAAAATTCAGGTTTTTCTAACGGACCATAACGCTAATCAAGTTTTCAGTTTATAAAATCACAATATTAGTCTTTAAATCGAAGTCAAAATGCGAAATTTCGGCACACTCCTCGCCAAGATCGCGATCTTGCATTGAAGAATGAAGAGCTATAGGCGTCAGCTTGGCTGTTAACACGAAACTGGCTTCACTTTTTGCACTCGAGTTCTTAATTTTGCACTCGAGCTCACTGGGTTACATTTTTTACTCACATTACATATATAAAATTCCTTTGAGAGGGCAGAGTATTTAGAGGAAGTGGTTTAATAAACATCTCTTACGTTACTGTAGAATTTGATGAAGAATATCAATAAATATCGGAAAGCGATCGGAGACGATCAAGATGTAGAAGCTCAGCAGCCAGACCCCCATCAGTCACATCGAGAAGGTACAGATAAACGAATATTTTCTTGTTTCATCACATGACCACCGTTCTATGGGAAAAGTGAAGCCAAGATGGTGGTTAACACTATTTTCCATCCAGCAAATCGCCCTATCAATTTTCTAAAGTCTTTCTTTTTGGATTTTTTCATTAATTCGGTTAGGGTTAGGGTTAGGGTTAGGGTTAGGGTTAGGGTTAGGGTTAGGGTTGCGGTAAGGGTTAGGGGTTAGAGTAGGGGTAGGGTTTGGGTTTAGGTTAGTTACATAGGCAATTAACACCTCTTCTATCTTCCGAAAATGACGTCAGGTCAGTTTGCTGGATGGAAAATAGTGGACATTGACGTCCAATAGCTCTGAAGCTCGTAAACAGTTAACATTTCCCCCAGCTGATTCCAGTTTTTCCAAGTTAAGTTGATGTCTATTGCAAACCTTTGTTGTGCAGTCACCTTAGTTGTTTTGTAGTTTGAAAACCCCCCAGAATTTCAACAAAATTATTTTGAGATATTCATTTTTTTGAATAAAAATTTGCTGCCCAGTTAAAAGAAAAATTGGGTTATCGTTCCATGTTTCGCGCACCAATATAGGTTAGGGTTAGGGAGATTGGAGACGTTTTAATGGCTGCGATTACTCGAGATTTAGTTCGTTCAATGAATGAAAAAGCGGCCCAAAATCCTTTTTTTCTTCTTGCTTCTCATTACGCTTTTCAATTTCTGTTCATCCGTCGTTGCCGTCCAGGAGCAACTCGCAGACGTTCAGAAGGACAGACAGTTACGCGAGCATTGAAAGGGAGAAAATCAAAAGTCCGTAAACTGAAAAAGAAAGTTCCTATCATTCGAGTTAAGTCGCTGTTTTTATTTGGCCCTGAAAACAAGTAAGTTGCTCCTAAAATAATCCTTGATCCAGGCGGCGAGGCTAGCCATGGCAAGTCGTCATAAACCTGCATCTACACTGTAGACCTGCAGGACCCCACTGAAAAACACTTCGGTGATGTGGGTATCCTGGATGAATATAATAATAATAATCTAAATAGGTCAAAGACAATACATTTGCACAGCATGACCTGTTACTATGGCTAGCTCGCCACTGCCCTGATCGTGTTAGACAGGTAAATAGGTACATATATTCACTACGCCTTGTATCTTAATGTACTTTTAATGTCCTCTCATAGATTCCGACGAGTCTGTCACTATATTGTTAACCTGCGTCATTTTGATAACTTTATGCTGGTCGTGATTATATGCAGTAGTATATTACTCGCAGTGGAGGACCCGGTCGATGAATACTCGGAAAGAAATAAGGTAGACGAGTTGTATACATTTCAATTTGATTAAAGTGCATATGACATGAAATTTCTTATTTTCTTAAATGAAAGAACTCTTTAAGCTGTAGTGTAACTTATTTTTCAGTTTCTTGTTTTTGTGGTTTGTTCCCGAGATATTCCAATTTGTTTGATATGTAAATCAGTGTGAATATGTCCGCTAATTTATGACGTCATGTTGGTTGCAAGCTCTTCAAAATAGTTGAATATCACTGCTATCATCCAAGATGATAATTTCAAACTTCACTCACTGGTAAATGTGATGAAACACTGGAGAAAAACTCGAACAGATATCTACAGTTTTTAGAGTTAATACATTTATAACCAGTGTAAGTTGAGCTTGCAACCAACGTGACGTCATAAATTAGCGGACATATTCACACTCATTTACATACCAAACAAATTGAAATATCTCGGGAACAAACCATAAAAACAAGAAACTGAAAAATAAGTTACACTACAGATTAAAGAGTTCTTTCGTTTAAGAAAATAAGAAATTTCATGTCACATGCACTTTAAACAGGTTTCAGCAAGTGTTCTAGGGCAACAGATGGTTAACTTCAGAAATGTTCACACTGACAGAAGAAGAAAATTAAATTGGTCTTATTTTGTTTATAGGTTATTCGCTATTTCGACTACATTTTTACGTCCATCTTCGCATTTGAAGTTTTTGTTAAGGTGAGAATTGCATTAGTATTGGCAAATTTGGAGAACAAAGGTCACAGTTAGGTTTAACGCATTGACATGATATGTTTCTTGTGTATAAAGTTGATCGACTTAGGGGCTGTGCTCCACCCTGGATCGTACTTCAGGAGTAAATGGAATTTCATCGACGCTTTGGTTGTTTGTTGCAATATTGCGTCACTTGTATTAAGGTGAGATAAGTAGTTTTCATATCATTGAATAATGGAACTCCTTGTAAAGTGATCTGATGTTGTTTATGCTATACTCGTGTATTGCCTCAAACTAACCGCTACTAAACCACAGACCTAACGGCAAGAAACCCCAATTAAACCGAAGCCTTTAAACGCAATGAAACCGCAACCGAACGTAGCCGCAGTCAAACCGCAGCAAAACAACAATCTAACCGCGGCAAACCAACAATCAAACCGCGGCTATGACGCAAGCGCACGGCATGGCATGACATTTGGCTGGCGCGTTTGCATTGATTATCTTTTTCAATTTGTTTTATTTTAGTCAGACACAAAGCAATGTTTCTGGTCAGTATTTTGTGAAAGTTTTACGAGTGTTGAGAGTGTTCAGACCTTTGAAGATGATGAACAAATTAAAGAAACTGGAGGTAATTTTTACTTACCAAATATTCAACTTTTGCAAGACTTGGAGAGATTTCGCTTTTCATTTAGCCACAACCGATAATTAGTAGGGTGTCCGTTTCGAAGATAGTCCTATATATAGGTAAAAACAAGAATCTTAACCACGAGGAATTAGATATTTGATTATTTATAAGAAATTGTTAATGTATTACTAATACTGTAAGCTGTGAATATGATTAACCATTTAGTTGTAATGCGCCCTACTTTATTATTTTACTCTGTCTAACGTCAGACGATTTTACTCATCAAGGGGAGGGTGCGGGATGGTATCTCGACACAGCGAGGGACCGAGTAGATACAATTTTGCTTGAATAGGTATGCATAAATGTGCCCGTTGCTACTCAATTCACATTTTCAGATAACTCACAAACCTAGTTACTACTGTTCTGGTAATGCATAAGCATACAGTAAGTTATAATGAGAGCAAAATTACATGTATCGCGACGTTTTTCTATTGTAGGCCGTGTTTCGCTGCATGTGGTACTCGTTCAAGAATGTTGCAAATATTTTGTTAATCACCGTTCTGTTTCTATTTATTTTTGCCGTCATTGGAGTGCAACTGTTTCAGGTACGCGCATTCTAATTACATATTAATTAATTAATTAATTAATTAATTAAACTAATTTTAGAATTATCTGGAATCAAAGAATATACTTATTGAAATTATTTATATGAAAATATAATTGTTCTTGTAGGGAAAGTTTTTTTACTGTACTGATCCATCAAAAATGTTTGAAGACGAGTGCAAGTAAGGTTTCCATGAAATGATTTAGCTCTATTATTTTTATATTCTCTACGAATTGAAATTTAATCTTGATTTATGGTGTTCATGGGGGATTGTTGTTGTTTTAGGGGGCAATATTTTGAGTATAATCAAGGAGCAGACAACATTGATTTAACAAATCAGGTTTGTACATGATTAAACCATAGATCGACAATGAATGAACTATTCCATGATGAGTGTGTCCACATCCAGCAAGCAATTTTTGAAAATTCCTTTACATGGAGCGAATTGTGGGGAAAATTTTTTTTTATTTTAGGTTAAAGTTAAAGAACGATTGTGGAAACTGCGTGATTTTCATTTCAATAATGTCTTCCATGCTATGCTCACATTATACACGTCAGCTACGGGAGAAGGCTGGCCAAGGTTGGTATAGGGTAATAACATGTTGTCATTGGAGCTCTAATATTCCAATAGAGCCCCATATAGAGCATTTGCACATGACGTCACAGCCGGCATGTTGGTGTTCTAATTCAAAAGAATTTAAATTAGAATCTTTTGTCTGGAACACCAACATGGCCGTTCAAACGTTCTATACTTTATTGTTGAAGTGCATATATGAGACTACAGCAAGAAAGATAGTGTCAGCTCATTGATGTGAAATTATTTTTCATTCCTAGCGCCATGCAACACACCATGGATGTAACAGCATTAAATCAAGGACCAATCCGTAACTACAGCGTGGAGAATGCGTTATTTTATATTTCGTTTGTTGTCGTGTTTTCGTTTTTCTTTCTAAATATTTTTGTCGCTCTTGTCATTCTCACCTTTCAAGAACAGGGCGAGAAAGAACTGGTGAACAGCGAGCTCGATCGAAATCAGGTAATTGAGAATTAGAACTTAATTAAGATGATTGAGAATTAGAACTTAATTAAGGTTATTAATAATTAGAACTTAATCAAGTAATCGATAATTAAGACTTAATTACTTACTAATTGTATATATGGTTTATAACTGTATGGCTTAATTGTGCGAAGAATTTGATAAGTATTAAAATAGAAGTAAAGATAGAGAGAGCTAATCATCTGTCCTTGTGCATTAGCTGATTGCTAAATTGGAAGTGGTGCAACTCAAACGCGACAAAATCGAACTAGGGCGTCTCTGGCTGCCATTATGCGATCCATGTCAGATCACAGAAAGTAGAAGGGTTAGTTTTTGGTGAAGGAGGAAAACTAGAGGACCCGAAGCCTCGAAGCACATTAGAGAACCAACCACAAACTCTACTAGTCCTAGCTTAAACGAGTTTTCAAGTACATCAAATCAGAGCAGGGTAATTTCTCATCACATCACCATACCCTGTCTTCGACCTACAATAGCAGCTCAGAGTGAGGAAGAGCGCGCTAACCTCCTTTGCCACATGTGTTTCCCTTAGCTTGGGTAAGATCAATTCCTAATGTGTAACTATTACGTCTTTTTAGAGAGATTGTATCAGTTTCGTCATTCGAGCTAAACCTTCAGAGACGTTTATGCCAGCGGACAAGAAGACATGGTCCTATAAAGTTTGGTTGGTGGTCGTCTCGAAACCGTTTGAATTATTTATTATGGCTCTCATTATACTCAATACCATTGTTTTGATGATGGAGGTGGGTTCAAATGACGTCATTTTCAATTCTGAAAAATGACGTAATCAGTACTAAACAATTTGTTAAATATTCTTACAGTATTATGATCAACCTGACGATTACATGAACATGTGTAATTACTTCAACGCTGCCTTGACTTTCTTGTTTACCATGGAGGCTGCCTTGAAATTGTTTGCATTTAAACTGGTATGCTACTTTCATCCAAATAGACCTTACCGATTATTCACTTTTCACTCAGTGACCTCGTTTTCATGTTAAGTACTTATACTCATGTTTTGTGCTTAGTACAGTTAAAAGTTACTTTGTTATTGAGCCTAAGAACAGCAAGAAACAATTCGTCCAGGAAAACATGGGAATATAATCTTTATCTGCCCCTGACATGCTAAAATAAGTTAACATGGAAACGAGGCCATTGAGTAAAAGAGAATAATCGGTAAAGTCTATTGTAACGAAAACATAATATCAGTGCAAAATATATTTGAAGTAGTCCCCTTTACATAGCTTACTCATAGAAAAGAACTTTTACTGCCACTAGATCTGTAGTAAGGGAGAACAGTTAGAACTGACAATTTATTGCTACGTAAATTTGTGAAACCTTAGGCTAAGATGCTGATGTTCTTTTTTTATTTTTAGAGCTACTTCCGAGATAGTTGGAATGTTTTTGACTTCATAGTTGTCGTTGGCAGTATACTGGATACAAGCTTGACATTCGGGGTATGTATTAGGAGGTAGAGGAGACACAAAATACTTTCTATTTCTAATATTTTGATCATTGTGTTTCAGAAAACCTACGATCTGCCTTTCGACCCCAGTATGTTCAGATTATTCCGGGCTGCGCGGCTTATCAAGATCCTGAAACAAGGCGCTGGGATCCGTGTTTTACTATGGACCTTTCTACAGTCATTTAAGGTAAGAGAAATATGTCCTGAGTGATTTTAAACGTATTTTATCATATATAATAAATGAGCTCGAATGTATAATGCCATACGGTATACACATTATTTCTTTGTGTTTTTCTAATGAATTATTAATGAATTTGATGGGCGTATGGGATTTCAGTGGCGCAGTCATCAGCAAGCGCCTCTCACCTCTGAGATTGTGGGTTTGATTCTCGCTATGGACTCATGTGAAAAGAGTCAGTCAACGCTCTGCCGAAAGTCGTGGGTTTTGTTCGGGTGCTCCGGTTTCCTCCCACAGGGAAAGTTGACAGGGTGGGTTAGGATAAACACAGTTAGAAAATAATTTCACAAATATTTGTATATAGTAAAGATAAAATAGTCTACACGGCAAAAAAACGATCAAGTTGTTGCATTATTGATGAAAACAGGATTGAACAATGCTTTGCTGCCCACATTGTTCACAGTTGTCAACAATATTGAACAATATTGTTACCCCCGATTCAGACTCAACAATATTGTTCAATATTGTTGACAATGTGAACAACGTGGGCAGCAAAACATTGTTCAATCCTGTTGAGCAGCGGGCTCGGTGTTTTTTGCCGTGTAGGCTTGATGTAAGCGCATTTGATCTACATGGAAATTTGCTCTATAGAATTGCAAATCGCGTAGTCGTCGAGCATGCCGAATGACTGTTAAGCAAATATGTTTTGTAATCTATTTTATTCTCTTCTCAGGCTCTGCCGTATGTCACTCTACTTATATTTCTCGTTTTCTTCATCTACGCTGTTATCGGAATGCAGGTTGGTAGACCGGCTAGCCTGCAAGCGGGCTGAGATGCGATGTTTTGCAATAAACGATGTTTATTCTTGTCTTTTTAGATATTTGGCAAAATCAAACTGGATGACAGCACACAGATTAACAAATATAACAACTTTCAAGATATTGCCAGATCTTTACTCCTGCTCTTCAGGCAAGTGCTGGACCTCTTAGATAGAGAACAGCTTGTAGAAATAACTTATAGAACTATCCAGTATAAATTAAGTTAGTTTTGCTTGAAAAGCTTACTGCGCTATTGAAGGCTGGTTTTATCAAAGTCTCTGTGATCACAGTAGGAATTTTGCATAGGTAAGTTCTAAGTTTTGAAGGATTTGCAAGGGTGGGTTGATTACAAATTTTTTGTAGTTCGCTATAACTACAGCTACTTCAAAAATATGTAGTCAGCTACACCTACTGCTACTTTTGAACAAAGGTAGTTCGCTACTGACTACAGCTACTGCTTAAAAAATGTAGCGAACTATTTCGCTATTTCGCTAATCTATATTTTTTAGTTTTACTGTATTTGGAGCATCTACTCTTAACTCAGGCTGTAAGGTAACCTATAACAAATCGACTTACGAGTAGCAACAGACAACAGTAAACACAAACCAACATTTTTGTAAGGACTACAGTGTTCAGGAGTGCAAATGGACATTGAGTATTGATTTTAAGCAGACCGTGTCTCAATATCATGCTATTCTATCAAGTTGCTAACAATTTTAAAAAGTAGCGAATAGCGATTCGCCGTTTGAAAAGTAGCCTACTACTTGGCAACTATTAGGCAAAATGTAGTTCGCTATAACTACAGCTACTGTTTTAAAAAAGTAGTCAAAAACTACTGGCTACTTGAAAATTGTAGTTCGCTACAGTAGCGAACTACAACTACTTCGCTACTACCCACCCTTGAGGATTTGTAAGAAATGTTTGGGGAGCTGATTCACTGTTTAACACGGAGACAGTTCCCTCAAACATTTCTTACAAATCCTTGAATTTCCCTATGCAAAATTCCTACTGTGATCACAGAAACTTTGATAGTGTAAACCAGTCTTAAAAGATTTAGCTCCTTTTTCATTGAAGAAAAATGTTTAAAAGATGTTTCATATTTCTACTTCAGATCTTCGACAGGCGAGAATTGGCAGGAGATAATGTTATCGTGTTCTGACGGCGCTATGTGCGATGAAAGAGCGAATCCTCAATCGAAAACTTGTGGTTCGACAACCTGGGCGATTGCATATTTTTGTACATTTATATTTCTCTGCATGTTCTTTGTGAGTATCTATTCTTTCGTTCCAGCAAACGTTACAGACAAGGGGCCGGTTGTACGAAGGCCGGGTCACAGAATAAAGACACACAGAAGGTCGACCTCTGTCTGTACTTCCTCTGTGGTCTGGGGCAGAATATAATTGCGTTGTATTTAATCATTTTCCTTGGTATTTCAGATGCTCAATCTGTTCGTGGCCGTTATTATGGATAATTTTGAATATCTAACACGTGACCAATCTATTCTTGGCCCCCACCATCTTGACGAGTTCGTTCAAATTTGGTCCGCTTATGATCCTGCCGCCACGTGAGTAGTTTTCTTTTTTATCCTTCAGCAATAACTTGTGTATTTCAGGAATTCAACTGGACTAAACACAGGTCAGTTAATTTATACCTGACAGCTCTATCAGTTCTAAAATGTACGAATCTTTATTTTGCAGAGGTGAAATTCATTATTCGAAAGTCTATGAAATGATGACTCGTTTATCGCCTCCCGTTGGATTTGGTAAAAAATGTCCGAAAATGGTCGCTTATAAAGTAAGGCCTGTTTTAAGATAAGATAAATGTGGCTTAACTATGTCCTATATTACCTAACCTTGTATACAGCAAGTAATTGTTTACAAATGTAATGCCTCTCAAGTATTTTGTACTACAGCACATAAATGCCTGCTAGGAAATCGTAGAAGTGAAGTATAAAATGGAGGGAGTGATGCAAATATATATATATCCTTATGAAATCCAGTATTTCAGGCTTTTGGTGGGAACTAGTAACCATTAAGCAGCCTTTGTTCTCAAACATTTTCTGACAAGTATAGAATGGAAGAGAGCGGCGGTTTGAGAGAGAAACAACTACCAGAACGTCGACGTTTCGAGGGAATATCCTTCGTCGGGAATAAAGAATTGAAGATCTTTCATGGCCACCAGCTTGGTCCCGCATCAACCCTGCCAAGCTCTGTTTCTTCAGAACACTACCGTAGCTTCCCCATGCAACCTCGTCGATCGAAGGTTTCACTCTAGGACCACAGCCTCATCCTCCTACCAGATGAAGCTGGATGCACCCAAAAACAACTGTCCCTCTCGCAACTGTTTCTAGTTAGGTCTAATAAATGTATAAAATCCACACTCGAAAATCTCTTCCACAATTAGTTCTATCGAGCGAGATTCCCGAAATCATGATATTCACACATCCATGCCTTTTAGCCGATATTTTATTATTTTCCACTTATAATCATAAATTTCTCCTATTTCAGCGTCTCATCAAGATGAACATGCCGTTGGATGAAAACGAAACAATCCAGTTCACGACAACATTGTTCGCCCTCGTACGAACGTCACTGCAGATCAGAATGACGGGAAATATGAATGCGAACGACACGAAATTGAGAAAGATGATTACTCAAGATTGGCCCAACATTATGCCACGAGTCCTCGATAAAATGATTCCCAAACAATCGGGTAAGAAGTGGGTATACGTTATTTCGCTGATCTCGGAATGACTAACCTGCTTGCCGCCTGGAATTTCCAAGGGGGGATAATTATCCCCCTTGGAAATTCCAGGCGGCAAGCGGGCTACAAAATGACATTTCGTCAAAAATTTTTTCTTCAAGATTGGTTTAGAAACAAACTTGGAGTAGAGTTAGGTTACGAGTAGGGTTAGGATTAGTGTTAGATTACTGTTAGTAAAACTGTTGATTGTTACGTTTTGTCACTCTGAGGCCAGCGAAATAACCTGTTCCAAGTAGTTGGGGTGTGCTAATGATCCTTACTTGCAGCTGAGAGCTAAGCTGAATTGTGAAGGACGCAGCTCAAACCTTATCGACTTTCTAAGCTAGGTGCCTCTGGCAGCCATCTTATGACTTATTTCTGATCACTGGGCACAGCTACGGTGGAAGAGTCAGTATAGGGGGTCAATTCCTACCCACCCGTGGGAGAAAACCGGTGTACCTGGAGAAAACCCACGACTTTTGGTAGAACGTTCACTGACTCTTTTCACACAAGTGTCATGAGTCCGCAGCAAGAATCCAACCCACGTGATCAACACTTATTTCGAATCATGTTTCAGTGTTAAGTTGTCATCAAATGACGGTGGGCAAGATCTACTGTGCTAAACTCATGGTTGAAAACTACAGACAAAACAAGAGAAGAAAACAATTTGACATTCTGGATGATGATGAATTCAGAAGACAGGTACAGTTTTTTGGTAGTCAAGGATGTTCTAATTGTTCTAGCTAACCTTATAATTATTCTAATTGGAATATGTCCACCTTATAGTTATTCTAATTGGAATATATCCACCTTATTTTTATTCTAATTGGAATATATTTACATTATAGTTATTCTAATTGGAATATATCCACCTTATTTTTATTCTAATTGGAATATATTTACATTATAGTTATTCTAATTGGAATATATCCACCTTATTTTTATTCTAATTGGAATATATTTACATTATAGTTATTCTAATTGGAATATATCCACCTTATTTTTATTCTAATTGGAATATATTTACATTATAGTTATTCTAATTGGAATATATCCACCTTATTTTTATTCTAATTGGAATATATTTACATTATAGTTATTCTAATTGGAATATATCCACCTTATTTTTATTCTAATTGGAATATATTTACATTATAGTTATTCTAATTGGAATATATCCACCTTATTTTTATTCTAATTGGAATATATTTACATTATAGTTATTCTAATTGGAATATATCCACCTTATTTTTATTCTAATTGGAATATATTTACATTATAGTTATTCTAATTGGAATATATCCACCTTATTTTTATTCTAATTGGAATATATTTACATTATAGTTATTCTAATTGGAATATATCCACCTTATTTTTATTCTAATTGGAATATATTTACATTATAGTTATTCTAATTGGAATATATC